AAAAATAGTTGCTCAGAGGAACACAGCTTTTCTGGCCTCTGATATAAAAAAGAAATGTGTCTAATGGTTCTTAATAAAACAGATTCTGTGTGAGATAATGGAAATACATTATCAGCAACTCATTTCCAGGTTTTGTCTAACCGCTTTAACACACATGCAGCTGAGGTAATACAGACCAAGGAAAAGTTGATAGCATTCTATTTCTTTAAGCTTCTCACTTGATCCAGGGATAAAATGTACTAGAATTGTGTTTCCAATGGTGGATAATTCTCTGTTTTCTTCTCTTTTTGGTAAAATTGGCCAGCAGTTTTTTCTTACATATGCTAGCTAAAGCCTGGCATATAGATATCCTTTGTAGACAATGAGGGGCAGATCCATGCTATTAAATAATGAGCAGAATATAGGGTTGGCGCCTTTCGGGTAAATTAAGTGTTCAACCCCATCTTCATTTGTTGAGAAGGAACCCTGTGTTAAAAGTGGTTAAAGCACTTAGCTGCCAACAAAAGGTCGGCATTTTGAACCCACCAGCTGCTCTGTGGGAGAAAGATGTGGCCATCTGCTTTCATAAAGATTTACAGCCTTAGAAACCTTATGGGACAGTTCTTCTCTGTCCTATAGGGTCACTATGAGTAGGAATTGATGGCAGTGGGTTTGTTTTTTTGTTTTTGATTTGTTGAAGGACATGGTATACCAGAATTAAAAACATCTATCATTTGTTAAGCAGCCAGTCATAAGCTGTGCTATTTAAATAACGTTTTAATGAATTATCTTTCAGTGTATCTTTCAATGAAATTGATTGGATTTGAATCAAATAGATTCATACCGCTAAAGAGGAAACTGTAACATAATAATTTTATATAAGTGCAGTTTACTAAACATGTAAAACTCTATTTAGAGACTGCTTAATTCATTTTTAAAAGGCATAGTTTATATATATTAAAGGGGCAATTGAATGTATTTTCCATTCTTAGCAGAGAAGCATCTCCTGCTCATTGTCTTATTGCCCTCTCTCCACAAACATAAAACTCATCCAAGTATGTTTTGTTTTATAAGCGATAGGCATATTTTGGGGGGACAAAGAGATCATTTCTGAAACATATTTGGAACTATAGGGAGCCCAGAATTTAAGATTATGCTCAAGATTTTGTGAGGTAACTTAAAGAAGCAGAACATTTAAAGTTTCATCAGGAATATTCTTTTTCCTTCTTTGCTTCACAATAAAGTTTTTTTTTTTTAAAAAAAGAAAAAAGTTTATTTCCTTAATTCTAAAGAGAGGTGAGTGAAGGAGATGGCAGTTTTAAATATACCCTTGAGCGTACCCTTACTGGGTTGCCTTTAAAAACAGCCATCATAGTTGATGAATATTTTAAGACGGCTGTCAGTCCTGGGGTCCCTGGGTGGTGCAAACCGTTGGAGGTTCAAGTCCACCCAGAGGTGCCTGGGAAGAAAGGCCTGGTGATCTATTTACGAAAAATCAGCATTGAAAACCCTATGGAGCACAGTTCTACTATGTAACACATAGGGTTGCCATGAGTCAGAATCGACTCTACCGCAACTGGCTTGTTACTTTGTTTGGTCAGCCAGTCCCAGTGCTGGGGTATAAGGCAATTCTAGAAGGTGCTTCTGGATCTTCTGTGAAGAGAGGTGTTTGGCAGTAAGTGCCACTGGAATTTGCATGAGGGATGATTATGTTCAATTAGGGAGCAAGATTTCTCAGATACCTGCCCAGTTACCCTAGACTTGAGCTGTCACTCCCCACACCACTTTTTGCCATGTCTTACACTTCTCTTTACTCTTTCTCCTTCTTGTACCTTTCTTCTTCTTTCCTTCCCATGCTATTGCTTTTCCTCTCAACATTTATTTTTCTTCCTCTCTTGTTTTAATTTTCCATTTTCAGTATTATTCTGTATGTTTCTTTCATCTTAAAATTTTGATCTTCTAGAACTACTATACTGTAGTTTATGATTTTGAAGACGAAATTTTGACATATAAATTTCTCTTAGATGTTTTAATACACTAATTCAAGAAAATAAAAAGTATAGTGAAAGGGATGGGGCGGGGAGAGTGAATTCAATACATTAGCCATTGAATTAGAGTGAAACTGAAAATTGGGGTCTAGGTGTTCAGAGGAGCCCGGATGACGCAGTGGTTAAGAGCTCGGCTGCTAACCAAAAGGTCAGCAGTTCAACTCTACCAGCCCCTCCTTGGAACCCTATGGGATAGTTCTACTCTGTCCTGTAGGGTCTCTATGAGTGGAACTGACGCGACAGCAGTGGGTTAGGTGCTCAGAATATTGAATTGTACATCTTCCTAGTTCATTGTTCTGATTAACCGCACATGTTCTTATGTTCTTATTTACCACCAGAACCCATAATTTTGCTTTTTTGGGACACATCACAGGTTGAAGACTATAGGAAAAAAAGCTAGAAAACATTACCATATTTTTACGGAAATAATGCGCACCTTTTACGTTTGTTTGCCAACTGTGCCCTCCCCTGCAGGGTTTTCACAAGAGCTGCTATAACAATTTGTTTTTCTTTCACACGTTGCTCTAAAAAAAAAAAAAATTAGCATGGCATGCTTTCGAAAATACTTTGTACGGGGAGAGTACAGTTGGCATACAAACATAGAAGATGTGTGTTATTTACATAAAAATATGGTATATATACATTTCTAATGTGAAGAGCTATTTGTACCAACAGATGATCTTTCAGACTCTTCTTGCACTGTCTAAGCCAGAACCTTGTTTCGAGTCTATTGTGTTTGGCAGAATTTAGAGATGACAAAAAATATCAGAAAACAAGAGTGTTACAGATTTTGGTTTTGCTCTGCAATATTAACTGTTAGTTAGCTTTGATGTTGAAGATCTTTATTCACAATTGTCATCTAACTCTGGTGTTAAGTTCAAAGTAGAGATTTGTCAGTATTAGAGAGAAAATCCCTTTTTGTTTATCTCAGTGACACGTGGTATTTGGAAATTGGTTGTGCTTCCAAGGCCATTTGTTACATTCTATTGCCACTGAAAGTAGCTAAAGACAAGGTGGTATCTATATGTTCCTTATAAAATTCTTACTCCGTCTTTGCCTACCCAGGATACCTATCCTTTATGGTGGCACCTACTTTCATGGTTTGATCATTCTTTTCATCTTTCATTTGTTTCTTCACTCACTCTTACAATTACTCAACCAACATTTTAAGCATACACTGTATCATTTCACTATTCCGGGTGCTGGGGATACAGTAGTGGGGGAAAAAAAGACAAAAGTCTCTGCCTTCATGGAGCTTGTATTTTGATGGGGTTTATAAATAAGTAGGAAAACGAGAGAAGTATATGTTGTGTGATGATCCCTGCTATGAAGCAAGTAAGGGAAGGTAATTCGGGAGTGCTAGGGAGTGGATGGGGTTGTTATTTAAACTGAGTGGCTGAGGAGGCTTGAGAGGAGCTCTGGAACAGTGAGGAATGGAACCATGCAGATACAGGGCAGAAGAGTGAGAGTTCTGGGCAAACGGAACAGCCATGGCAAAGGTCCTGAGGAGGGAACATGGCTGGTGTGTTTCAGGGACAGCAAGAAGGCCAGCGTGGCTGGAGCAGAGTTGGCAACGGGGAGGAAGGAGGAGATGGTCAGAGAGGTTAGGGAGCATAGGGCACATGAAACAAGGCCTGTGGGCCATTGTAGAGACTGGGACTTTAAATGAAATGAAAACTGTCAGTGTTGCTCAAAAATATGTAATTTAAATGATAAATACCTTTTATTCTTCTATAGCTTTGTTATGTAAATCAGTTAAAATGCTGCTAAATTGGGAATGTGTACATTATCACGAAGAGTGACTGCTCTGTTGTCTGGTCTGCTCGCCAGACAGGGAGGAAGCAATGAGATAGTCAGGGGACAAATCCTAGTCTGGAGCTTGCATTAACTGCTCATGTTCTGGGGCCTTGGGTTTCTCATCTGTGAAATATGGAGGACAGCCTAGATCAGTGGTTTTCAGACTCTGCTCCATGGAGTACTAGGGATTCCTGAAGCCCCTTTTATTTTAATTTTTATGTTTTTAAACTTCCATGTAAGCTTCACTTAGAACAAAGTGTCCCCAAACTTAAAAAAAAAAAAAATCCTGGACTCAGTTGCCCCTTAGGTTCTCCAGCATGATGAACTTGTAATCTCGTAGATTCTCAAATGACAAAACTCCTAAAGGAGGAAAATTCCTCCAGAATCCCTTATTACTCAGAGGCACTTGGGGAGAGAGTGCAGTACCTCTTATTGAAATCAGAGGGTGACTTGTCCATAGTTAAATAAGTCTTTCTAGATCCTATCCTTCAGAATTAGTGAGTTGGCTCCTATTGTGGTATAGACCTTAGCTAAGTGAATTATAGAAAAAGTGGAACTCTTAGCAGGTGCTTCTTGGCACAATATAGAAACTAGCAATTGACAAGTATAGTCATGTTCAATGTGTAAAGAAGGGCACAGGACTGTTCCAGTTGAGAAGCATAGTCATGTTCAGTGTGTAAAGAAGGGCACAAGACTGTTCCAGTTGACAAGTACAGCCATGTTCAGTGTGTAAAGAAGGCAACAGGACTATTCCAATTGACAAGTACAGTCATGTTCAGTGTGTAAAGAAGGCAACAGGACTATTCCAATTGACAAGCACAGTCATGTTCAGTGTGTAAAGAAGGGCATAGGACTGTTCCAGTTGAGAAGCACATTTATGTTCAGTGTATAAAGAAGGGCACAGGACTGTTCCAACTGACAAGCACAGTCATGTTCAGTGTGTAAAGAAGGGCACAGGACTGTTCTAATTTTAAAAAATAACTAATGGCATGATTGTTAGTCATCATCTGTAAAGTTGTCATATTGTCACACTCCAGTAATATAATTGGAAGATAAGCTGGCTATTTTTGGTACTTACGGTTAAAGATATATCTTAGTGAAAGCTTTGCTTTCTGATTGAGGAAATGGGAAAATTTATTTTTTAGATATTGACTGTCTGCTTCCTTTCTGATCCAGAATCTCAGTCTGCTGTTTTGGAAACTCCGGAAAAATGTTCAGATGCTGTCCAGCAGGTAAGAAGATCTTACTAGGATGTCTAATCCTGTCTCCCTTACTTGCCTTAAAGTTGTGGCAGACTCTGTGATTGATCTTCCCATCTGCCCAGCTAGCTAGGCTGCCTTTGTTTTCCTAAGCCTGCAGGGGAACCCAGTGAAGCGGAGGAAGATGTTTTCTTTCTTTATACTTTGCAAGGAGAATCAAGTTTGAAGTAGAACTGAGTACAAGCTTTCAGAAGCTCCATCATTCTATGTCCAGCCAGTGAGTTGGACCCAGACAACAGCTGGCTCCGGCAGGACAGGAGGCCACTCTGGGAGATGTTTGTGCAGAGATGCATCTGGCTGAATAATCATGAATACAATTAAAAAAAATCTCTGTCAGAGCTTTCTGAAATCAAGCATTATGGTTAAGTTGCTGTTTGGTGGAAGAAACATAGCTAGTGTCTGTTTAATTTCTATAGAACTGTTTCCTTTCTGTTATCAGAGAAGCCAATTTTTGTGTCTTTTTCTCTTGTTCCAAAATGTATTTGCTATAAAAAACTGCAAGAAAGGAAACTAGTTACACTAGTATGGAATAGTCATGTGCATAGCACATGCTATTTTGGATGTAAACCTATTTAATTTATATTTTTGCCCACCTGTGCTTTTGAAAATAACTTCGTGTTAGCATCATCAGCAAGAAGAGTGTGGTCTAGTAGAACCAAGAAGATGCCTAACTGGGTTCTAGACACAGGTCTGTTTCTGGTTAGTGTGTGACAGCATCCTTAGCCTATCTGGGACATAGTGAAATAAAAGAATTGGGTGGTCTCTGAGAACTCATTTAAGCTTAAAATGACTTTCCATTAAAAACAAGAAACACTGCATCATTCATGAAGGTTGTGCTCCCCCTGGAGGAGACATGGGAGTATAACATAGAAATTTTCAATTTGCTAGTGCTTTTCAAAAAAGTACAGATAGACTGGCCATTTTCATAAGAGTAAAGCTGCTCTTAAGGATACCAAAACCAAAGCAAACCCGTTGCTTTCCAGTAGATTCAGACTCATAGTGACCCTATAGGACACAGTAGAACTGCCCTGCCCCATAGGTTTTCCAAGACTGTAATCTTTATGGAAACCGACTGCCACATCTGTCTCCCATGGAGCAGCTGGTAGGTTTCAATTGCTGACCTTTTGGTTAGCAGATGAACGCTGAACCACGGTGCCACCAAGGCATTTTTCAATTGTCCACTCTCTTCCATAAAGTTTTCAGCTTATTGCAGTATATTTTATCATGGTTCATAGCTTAAGAAAAATAGAAAGTTACTGTATAATTTTACACATATGAATGTGTGTCTTTAATTATTACCATTGGAATCTCAATGTATAGAGCAGTGTTGTACATATTTTATCATTGTTGGTATTATAGGATACTTCATGTCCGACTTCTCTTTGGTGTTATCATATGTAACAAAGAATTGAGTCACCTATGTTCTGAAGATAAGGATTTAGAAATATCTAATATAATATTTCAGATCATTTAGCCATTCCTCAAACATAAAAAATCTGTAAAAAAACAGGAGATTTTTAGGACACTATTTTTGATTATTGCTGACTTTACTATTTCTGTCTTACCCCCTTTTGTCTTTCTTCATCTTATTCACTCTTGGCTAATCATTACATGGTTAATTAAATGGCCATCAGCTGGGTCCATTTTACTTCTCCAAGTGCTTCCAGCTTGATGTAGGTCTCTTCCGTGACAAAAAGAAGCTTGCTTTTTTAATGGCACTGTCCAGAAAATCAGCCACTGAATCCCCTGTGGAGCGCAGTTCTACTCTGACATGCACGGGGAATTGACTCCACAGCAACTCGTGTTCTCTTCTTAGATGGTATGTGTGTTTTCACAGGAACTTTAAGTAACTGGCCATAAAAGGGATTAAAGAACTAGAATTAATTCTCAATCTACTACGCACCTGGACTGTATTGTTTTATGTAATCCTTACAATAATCCTTTAAAGTAACTATCATAGTTCACATTTAACTGAGAAAAAAATGATATTCATAGGCGGTAAGTGACTTACCTGAGGTGACAAAATTGATAGAGTTTAGACCTAAGATTTGAGTCTGTTTGCTTTTTTAGCTCATGTTCTTTCAACTATGATAAAAATTATACCTTTATGTGGGTGATCACCCTTCGAGTAGATCATGCCATCTGATGACAAAATCATCAGATAGATTGAGATGAGAGTTTCGTTTTAAAAGTTATCGTATTATATTTAAACTGTACATTTGTAAGAGTCAGATGTCAAGGTACATTTTAGAGGTGGAGATGTCATTTGATAATCAAAGACTGACTATTTAATCATCTACGCATTTGGAAGTTTTACTACAACTTCTGTCCTACTTTGTGTCAATTTTAGTAACTTTAGTCTTTTTCACTATTTAAAAAAAAAAACCGTTTTATTTTTCATGTGAAGCACCTTGCTTTCTTCTTCTTGGTCACTAGGTGGCAGTTCTGTGTCTTGCTAAATTACCACTGCAGAAGACAGGGGTTATAAGCCACAGTTTACTCTGTATGAGGGGTGAACATGAAAGGTTTTCTGGTCCATGGGGCTGCCAGCATTATTTCGTGGTTGTAGTGCGAAATCTCCAGGACTGCTTAGTTGAGTAGTGAAGGGGGATTGGAAAACATCCTCTAAGTTTTTCTTCAGATGTACATTCAGACACCTGTTCTCTCCATCTGAAGGGACTGGAATTTATTGCATGAGTTTAGACTTTCATTCTCTCCCTGTAGTATTTTCTGAGAGCTCAATATCCCTAGAAAAAAACACATGACTCATAAAGCCTTTTCTCTACTAAGAGGAGTCGGAAGTTGTGGTATTGCCAGTGAGTCTGATGCCTAAAGCAAATAGAGCTGGCGCTCATGCAAAAAGAAAGGACGATGGTTACTCTCTGAGTGCTTTTATTGATGGCCCTATGGAATTATGCAGTTATAAAATAGGCCTCACTTCCAGATTAGTTTAATGTCAAGTAATATGCTCTGAAAATCTTTTGTGTCTCAAGAATTATTTCATAAAACTAGAAAAGGACTATCATTCAGTTGTGTTTTATCCTTTATTATTTGAAATACAATTCAAGCTGTAAATTCTTTTATACTCTATAGTATATAAATATATAGTATTTAAGTATTTAAGTATAGTATTTAGTATTTAATATATAAGTATATAAATAGCCAAAAAAAAAAAACCATTTGCTCCTCAGTTAAGATGAATATGGTAGCATGCTTTACCTTGTTACCACTCAGTTTTTAACTTAATTTCTCTTGAAATTGTGTACAATATTTGTTTTGAAGCATTTTCCTAAAAAGCCCTTGATATCTTTTTAATGTAAATGGACTGTTTGAAAGGTAAGTAGAATTAAAAATGTGGTTTTAAAAACTCAGCCTTTGAGTAAGAATCATAGTGTCAGGTGACGAACACATTGGGTTTCTGCACATTACAATAGTTACTAATTATCAATAGTTATGTTACAAAGTAGTAGATAATAGAAATAAATCAAACAATATCAGCACTGTCTTTCCCTATATGTTGTACAGTTTATATGCAAGCAAATTCTCAAAGGTCAGGAAAATGCTTAAGGGTTGCAATAACTGGCAAAATCCTATCTCAGTCCAATTTTAACCTTCTTTGAAATTTGGCTCTTAGGATCCTGCTCTGATGAGTCCCACTGAATACCCTCAATGCCCAATTCGACTGAAACTTATTTGAGGAATTTAATATTCTTTTCCAATGAATTTCCTTAAAGCATCTGTTATAGTGCTCTGTATACAATAGCCACCCAGTATACTTTATTATTAGTCTCAGAAAAATCTTTAGGAACAAATCAAAGAAATAGATATGAATAATGTACAGTAGCATAGTTGAAGGTACTTGAGGGGTTATAAGTGTCTTGGCATAGAAAAGTTTGAAGAGGAAAAAAAGTATTGGTCAGGTCAAAAGAAAGGCATGGAGTGAAATTAATTTTGAAGAAATAATGCTGGCAAAATATAGAAATGAGAAGCCACTGGAACTGGATTGCAATGTATTCAGCAAGTGGAAGTGTTAGAAAAAAGAACAACATTGCTTCTAAACTCTAAGGCCAAAGGTAACATGAAGGTAGTTAGGAAGGCATTTAGAAACCAGCAAAACAATCAACAAGTATAAAACTAAAATATAAACCAGAGTAAGAAAACTAGGGCTTACAGGAGAGACGGAGAGAGAAACTTGGGGTCAAGGTCAGAAAAAAATTTAGACATTTTAGCTTTAGAAGTAAAGAAAAAAGAGAAACTATTGTATCAGTTTTAAGAATGAAAACCAGTTCATCTCTGGCAAGCAGTTAGCAATTTGAGATTGAGAGTATGAAGTAAGAATTAGATGTCATACGTTGTTTTTGTTTTTATCTGGGGTGGCAGGGCTTGGGGGTGAAATGAAGTTATTACATTTTTGCCCTGTTGAGTTTTAGGTGGTGTAAAACTAGTGTGTGCCATACAATACTGTTAATGACCCGTGGAGAAAGGCAAACAGTTAAAGCAGTTAATATAAAGGAATAACTGTGCAGATACAAGTTCTTTGCTTATAAAGGATGCTTATCCTTTATTGATCATCTGTTGACCTCCTCTGTGTAAAGTATTTGTGGTAGGTATTAGCGGAAATACTAAGAATTGTAAGATAAATTCCTAGGCATTAAGAAACCGACCTTCAAGTTAGAGAAATAGATCTCTTTTGTATGCATGACATTTTCTGCAAGACGTAAATCTGCCAAGATACTTAGTGTATGTTGTAAGTATTCTAAAACATCAGAAAACAGGAAGATTGTAATTAAGGACAGCTTCTTTGAAAACGTGAAACTTAGATCAAGTCATCTAAGTGATGATTTTTGGGCAGGTGGAAAGAAAAAAAGTGGGTATTTCAGATTAGGGAAGAGAATAAAGGTATAAAAGTGGAGGTAAACATGACACATTGTGGGGGGAGGGGGCCACAGTGGTCCAAGTGACTTGAGGTGCAT